AAACGCTTGGTGTAGGATGCCCAGAACTGAGCAAGATGGTGAACATTAGTGGAGCTTTCTTGCTCTGAACGTTTATTTTCAAAAAAATATCCGTCATGCCGCGTAATCGTTCCATATTTTGAATTTGGAAATCCCAATATGATATGATTCAGATACTCAATGCAATAGGGAAATATTGTAGCACGCTGTTTTATGACACACAGTAACAGATGTATAGTATTTATGTTATTGTTAGAACAGCATGCAGTAACTTTAATACGGAGTATTCTTATTTCATGTTCAATTACTTTTATGGTGGCGTTTAATTGGAGCAGGTAGTCGACTTTCTCAATGACTTGTACACCATGTTTGATGACACAATCGTCAACTTTGATGTCTACAAGGTAAGCCAGCATTCTAAATTAGGTCAAGGGACGTTTTTGTTTCTGAATTTGTTATATATTATATTATTATATCCATGCGATCATGTGTGATGTAGGAAAATACACATCACATGTATTGCATTCTTTATTCCAGGATTCTACATATATAAAAGCAAACAAAACAAAACCCGTGTATATATGTATATATAAATGTAAATATATGTAAATACAATAAAAATACAAATAAATGTACAAATGTTGTGTCAGACAAGATATACTGAAAGAGTAAACTAAACTGGATGTCTATACAAGTATAATAACAGTATAATATAGTATTAAGTACGCAATGTACAATAAAAACTCACCCTGACAGGACACAGACTAGAAATAAATCACAATATGTCATAAGGAAATAATATTCAAACCACTCCTGTCATAGAAATAAAAAGGTAGTGTAAATATCTTGACTACAATATTAAGATAAAAATGACAAATAAAACTTGAGTGACTATACACTCAATATTTGAAAAAAAAGTGTAAGAACATTTTTCTTTCGGAAAATATAGCCAAAAATCGTAAAAAGTTTTTTTATCAAGCAGACGGTATTGTAAAATACGACAATGTAAACAAAGTTTTGTAATTCGAAAAATATGTTAGTTTTGTGAAAAAACTAAAACCAATAGAATCAATAAGCTTACCGAACACAAATTTTGTAGAAAACAACATCAGATAGCATGGGGAAACCAGTAAATTAAAAAGAATTGTATGGGAACGACACTTCACAAGAGATACATAAAATGGCTGCAGAGATGAAGTGCGCCCTCAGATAGAAAAACTGGTAAATCTATAAGAAAATTTAAGTAGAACGCCCTCATCGTCACACACGATGTTTAATTATTGTTTCATAAAACAAAGTCTTGTAATGAAAATAAGACAAAATTGAATGACGAAATGTGTGAGATACAACTAACATAGAGGACCTTTCTCACCAATCATATCTTAGTATATTAATAGTATAATCAACTAATAAATTTGAGGAATTCGAAGGTCGTAATTCGGAATGAACATCTGAACGCATGAATCTGCCTGGAAAGGCACTGTATTACTTGATTTGCAGCGAAATTTACGTTGAATATATGTCAATATATCGTTCGTTATATATCGGAATCAACACTGTAATAAAGGAATGATTAGTTAGACAGATACGTGGAATTTCTATTCAAACAAAATAATAGTGCTCAATTATTGTTCAAAAAAGCTAACAAGTATATGTCATGTGCCCATGTAAAAAATTGGATGAAACAATATTCATTATCTCACCCCAAAATACCTGAAACAAAATGTTGACGTATTATTATACCCTTGATTGTATTTAATGAGTTGTTGAAAGAAAGCGATGATGGTATATTTTGTGGAAGATGGCTAGGGGTGTAAATACTCAATACAACTAAGACGCGATTACTGGCCGCTGAGATCTCGTTTAGAGTGAGATCCAAGAGACGTGACTTGTTTATGCTTTTCAAATAATATTTTTTATTATATCTTCTGATAGAGCGTTCAAAACACGTATTGAATTAAAAACCCTAGCGAAAACGTGTCGCATGTTTTTCTTCTTTCTAACGAAGTTTAGGTGTATATTTGAAAATCTTTTCAATCTTGTTCTGATATTTGTATCTTTTTACACAGGTTGAAACTATCGGCGACGCATACATGGTAGTTTCCGGTCTTCCTAACCGAAACGGCAAACGACACGTATGCGAAATAGCCAACATGGCGCTAACTTTGCTTAGTGAAGTAATCACATTCAAAATTCGGCACCTTCCCGGCAGAGAGCTACAGTTACGTATTGGTATACACAGCGGACCTTGTGTGGCTGGTGTTGTTGGTCTCATTATGCCACGGTTTTGTCTCTTTGGTGACACGGTCAACACGGCATCTCGAATGGAGTCTTTAGGGCAAGGTAACGAACACGCCATTTGCCATTATCAAGTTGTTTTGAAGTTGTTATTTATTTATTTATTTAAAATGTTCGTGTTTTTTTACTGACTTTCTTTTCCAAATGATAGCTCGCCGTATTCACATTAGCCCATCAACAGCCCATGCATTAGAAGTGCTTGGTGGATACAAGATGACACCCAGGGGATCAGTCAATATCAAAGTATGTTAACATATATTTCACTACTCCGCGATTACGATACTCATTCGGTCCACCGGTTCCGAGCATCTATTGTGAATGCTATATTGGGCGCAAGTAACTTGTAGTCATCATGTTGTTCACCAAACGTCTCATCCGTTAAACACCCATTAACATAACTATCAAATAATCTGTCGTCTAATTGTCTTATAATATGCCCCGGGGTTGTTAGATTATAGTACACATTGGTGAAAACATAAATAGTTTTATATTCGCTGCGACGTTTCAGTACCGTAATCTGCGATCTGAATGAAACGATCAATGAGAATACACAACAGGATTACTAATTACCAGCCGAACTGTGAAGGCCCCTCTTTTAAGTGTAAGTGTAATATTGGCCACCGCGTTGCCAGTCAACTAAATGCGTCCCCGCTGCCATTATTATAGAACGTTTTGGCACTGGATAACGACAATCAGTGATTAAATTAAGTTAAAAGCTCACGCCCATGAAATACTCACTTCACTCTATTTCAAAGTCAGGTTGTTTTTCACTTAAATTCCCCTAAATATAGGGCTTGATTATAGCAGTATCACGTTTAATGAATAAAAGACCGTTCATTATTTTTCAGGGGAAGGGGATTACAAAAACGTACTGGCTGGAAGGAAGAACTGGGTTTGACAAGGCACTACCCAAATATTCATCGTAAGTATGACAACTCGAATTTTATATTTAAATATCCCTGTTATACTCACATTAAAACACCTATCTTGTTCGAAGTGATATATGTAATATGATTGTAATGATAAACAAACCACGACTATTTTTTTCTTTGTTTCAGGGAAAACAGTCACAACGACAGTGATTTCCATGATAACGTCGATGATCCGATAGTGAATATTGATTGAGTGGATGTAAACGTCCACCTTACTTGAATTTAATTCGATTAAAAAAGGATGAACAGTTTCCTCCCTTTCTAGACATGTAATTAACTTATAATGCCGTGTATCACGTAGTATTATTTAAACGAGCAATGTGTTCTTCACACATTACGATCACCAACGATTTGTTTATTTAAAATAAATTTAAATAATTTATTAATAATTAAATTTTAATTTAAATTCAATTCTTTCATTTCCCAGGAGACATAACAGTTTATCAAATGTGTCAAATTCATTAGTATTATTCATTAGTATAATTCATGTCAACTTTGGATATAAACATCTATGAGTAGTGAGATGATTTATCCTATTTCGCCCACCAATGAGTAAACGCCGATTTCTATAAATAGAACTCTAGGCCTCTGGCGACAAATCTTACGTCGACATATTTGGATAAATTGACCACCGTTTACGACGCCTATTTTTGATCTGTAACCGTCAATGACAAATAATGCCAAGAATGACAAAGGACTACACAACCAAGCACAGTTATTGCTAAGAACAACACTGCGTTCGCCAATCTACGTCAGTTCGACTTCACCAAAGCACTTCGTTACTGTATTGTTACTGTATTGTTTACGTAATTAGGGAAAACGTCTCTCTAGATTAATTAAATTGTATATATTCCCAAAGAAATATCTATAGATATAAATGATTCCGAAAAAATCTATTCTGATAATGTTGATAGTGCTTTAATGCTGACGTCATTATACAAAAGTGTCAGATAGCGGATAGCTCAAGATGACGGTTTTGAAGACAACATGATGTCGTATATTACTGTCGACGCTTGCAGAAAAGCAACTCAGAATAGATCACAGTGAATGGAAACTATTTAACAAAAAGTGTAATAAATAAGAACTTTTTTTTTTCAAATCAGTTTGTTTATTACGATAACCACAAAATAATGGTCTGACACAAACATTGTTTATAATACCACAAGGTAAAATAAGGCATTGTTTTTATATTACAATGATACCAACAACGTATATTGAACAAATCTGCTCTGGTTTTGCACTAGTAGACATGAACTATGCAAATTTGTCATGAGTGGACATAGACATTTTCATGTATACTAAACGTGATTCAAGTTCAAAATTATGATTGTGAAAAACATTTACGTGAATTTCCATGTTTGTTTTCATATGTGTAATGTTAGGTTCAATCATGCACCTACAAGTGTTTATCTTTTTTATCACCAAACCATTCAGCATTGAAAATGTCCCTCATAAGCAGTCTTTTGACGAGTAAAATATTGAAAAGTAACAGAAAACCTACAACTACTGTCATCATGAAAATAGCAAAATATGGCAAATCATCGTAATTCACAACTAGCCATCCTACCATGTAGGATACTGACAGTATTCTGAATACGAATGCCATTATAATGTTAATGACGGCGTTTGCCTTGTAATAACTATTGTTGGACGGAATGCCACACATCTGAAAAAACTGTCGACTGTGCAAAAATATGCTGCTCATCTCACTCGTCGAACCAATGATCTGATAGTAGATAGCTTTCTTCACCAGAAAAAGAAACGTTCCTTGACCCCAGAGTGCCTGTTGATAAATGATAAAATGCTTTATTTTTTCTGAATGTTAACCAACACGTCAAAAACAATCTATAACAAAATAAAAATAGATGCATGTCCAAAATAAGATAGTTTCAAAAGATGTCGGCTCTTTTACTGAAGATATCATTTGTAGAAACTCGAAACTACACCATTTGTGTCATTTTCGTATTTGAAATGGGAGTGACAGGCTTAGATATTACACAATAGCATTGTCGTCTTTCTCACTTCGCGGGTGTATGGAAATATGAGCACATAACATTATAATGGGTGAATATATGTGATGGCATCCTGCAGAAACGTCTATGACAATCATATAGCCTATGTGTGGTCCAAGTACCCTAGTATAAGTAGGTTGGATAACTGATTGAAGAACTGGGGCCTTTTACGATTACTATGTAGTAGAATACATACAGCTTCATCTTAATTCGAAACACATAATATGTCAAAAATATTAAAAGCCATTTATTATTTCCACCGGTGAATTTGCAACCAGCCTAGTCAGCATTTTAAAAAAAAACATGTTTCCCGACATACGTCGCGCTATTTTTAAAACACATGATTTACAAGTGTCTTTCATGGGGATTTCATCGTGACCTGATTTATACTGTGAGAATATATGTCTACCAAATAAAAAGCTTATGTCATGTTTATGTAACCAATTTTGTAGCTTCTTTGTGCCATATTCATTTTCTATCTTTTCACGACGTTAACCAATGGCTATGGCTGCCCCCTAGTCTCAATGTCCTCATGTTTTATAATATTATCCAATAACATATCCACATTCACCGAGAAAACACCACTATGTGAGTTTATACAAACAAACGCTATTTATCAGTTTTGTGTGGCTAAAGTCTATAACTCTATTCTCTTTATTATTCTGACTGCGAACACCCACTGATCTGAACAACTTTCACGAAAGATCCCGTTCGTGAGATCTCAAACAACTAAATTAATTAGTCAACCAATCAGATAAAGTATTGCATATAGTGATTATCAAACCAAGTCACTCTCTATGGCGGAAGTAGGATCGTGTACATCCAGTTTGGTAAGTTCATCTCGACGTCCGCTTTCCAGACAAAAATGAAGGCACGCAACTTTCTGACAACTTTTACATGACTGGCGTGGCTCACGCTGTGCCGCTCCACTGTGCAATAATCATTTTAAAGCGTACTAAGAGTCAGCTCATTAGGATAACTCAGTTCATATCTCGTCAATGCTTTCATAATTACATACTTATAACGCTGCTTATGAAACCTTTTCAAAAGATATTACCCATTCTAACAGTATGAGTAAATAATCACTTGGTCAAGATGACTGATATGAGCATCAACACAAAGTGTTTTATTAAACCCATGTTGTACGCTAGATGGCGTGTTTCCAATATGGAACCTTACCTGTGCATTTCAACTGTCGTATTAATGATGTACTATACAATGGTACTTACAATTACATGATGTGATATAGTCGGCCACACATCTGCTAGCTTTTTGTGTCTGATGTGATCGATTATGTCATAAACAAAATATCCTGAAATAAAACAGTCATAAAAGGTAAAACAGGAATGTGTGTATTTAACTTTGACATAGTTCGATAAATAAAATAATAATCTAAATTAAACGAGGAATATAAGGATATGTATTATTTTTATTTTACATCTGATTTATACAATGTTAGTTAATACTAGTGTAAAACATGGTGAGTTACACTACTTTACACCACACCAGATCAGACCACAATGCACAACACTGCTACACAACACTACTAAACCACACCACACCACACCACACTACACAAGACCAGACCAGACCAGACCACATCACACTACTTAGACACCAAACCACACCACACTACTACGCCACATTGCACCATGCCACGCAAAGCTTGGGGGCTGCCATGATTGTTTGTATTTTTAGAAAACGCTTACACGCCTAAACATCCCATATTTGGAATTCCTAATAAGGTAGAATTAAAATATAAAGTGCAATACCGCAAAATTACGGCACACTGTAACTTAAGGCGCTACGGTGACAGATGTACAATAATATAAGATATGTTAGATGTAACGCACACATTCACATTATTAGAATTCGTACCTAAGAGCAATGCAATTACCATTTCCGCTCTCGCTGAATTCCTATCGTATAAATCAGCTAATACACTAGGATCTGAAATGAGACTGGTAACAAAACACCTAACATTAGACTCGTATAGTTGGTCGTTGTGAATATATATTGCATGTAATTTACATAGTTATTGTTCAATAATGAGGATTTAATATTTCCATCACTGGAAAGTGGTATTTTCATGATGCGTTATGTAAGTTTCATATCATGTTTCTAATTTATTTGTATTCGTTAGAAGAACAATATGCAAAAGTAGTAATTTAAATGTGTGCAATAAACAATTAATAATAACAAATATATAATTCGTTGTTTATACTAAATAGTTGGGAGTGTTTACTCAAAATAGAAAATGTATTCAAAAAGAGATTATTGGCAAGCAGGCTATTTTTAGTGAATTGGAAATGCTGGTTGACATGAAACTGCAATTGATTATGTTTTCTGTTGTTTTCAAAAGCATGTTGTTTTGTAGAATGCGGGAAACCGCGCAGATAAGTGTAATGTAAACAAAATATCCACTTAGTCAAAAAGATTGCAATCAATAATAAATGAAAGAATGGCAAATATACTTTGTGCTGTCATCCAGCTTAAATATAAATGAAAAATCGTGCGTTTATCAATAACAGTGGAAATAAATGAAAGACGTGTTTCTCCATTGTGGAGACGTTTAGATTCATGAAAACAAATATATGTGCAATACCAATCCACTGTCAGCGGTCCAACTATCGATGCATGTACAAATGAGGTTGCGACGTTGTTCCATTTATAACTCTGCGGTATTATTTCCTTCGGCTTCGGACATATACTGAAGATCCAATTGATGCAAAGGAAAGTGAGTGTTGAGCCCATCATTATATATAATAATATATAGTTCGGTGTAGAGTCTGTCGTATTCATGATGGTGGTGATACCAATAGGAGTAATGGCGGCGGTATCTTGTTGTGGTTAAAAAACGCACTGGATTAGCTGATATGAGATTAACGTTTAGGGCTATCCCGATTAGAAGATGAATGTATATATATGCACGTATTATAATGTGGCACGATTGCCAATCAAAACAGAAAAGGATTGTGGGTGCACGAGTTGACCAATTAGAGTCAACTCATACAAGTCGACGGGAAAATCGCTACCGTGATTTCACACACCAGTTAGGCATGCTTTGTCTAGACTGGTGCTATAGCAAACACCAACAAGTCTGCTCAATTTAAATGTATTACACAACGCAAATATATATCTGATAAATTAAATACTGTAATTTTAATCATGAACACGCAATCGTCAAGATTAATGCTAAACTTTTCAAATTATTCGAATGTCCAGAGTCACAATGTTCTATCGATCTATGGACAACCTGTTAGTCGGCCTTGGGGGAGCTGGTGTTTCAGTATTATAATTCGTATTAAAAATATAGCATCTAATGTATCAATAAATATAGCACTAATATATTGGGATGTTGGCTGCGTTTATTGACTATATGAAAACATTGTCGATAAATCTGACAAACGCGCATTATCTTCCGCCTGTAATTGTAGCATATGACACAGAGCTTCACTGTTACAATTAATGTTGTTATTAGTTTATAGAACTTAGCTAGGAACCACTGATATCGAAGACTTCTCTATCATTGTATACATTTTGATATGAATATATATTACGAGGACTGATTCAGAATTGCTTCTTAAAAAGGAGGGGGAATAATTCATATTGAGAACACCAAATTAATAACTTGTACATACAACCAAAGAGACATACATTGCAAATCAATTAAATTAAATACAAAATCAGTCTAACATATTTACGTTGTTGTATTTTGTCGTAGGGAGGAATGTAATATTATTTTCATTGGGCAGTGGGAGGCTGCCAAATAATATGACTACGTATTTGCTCTATTTGACGCACGTCGCTAAAATGGCATTATATTTTAATTATAAGGGTATAAGAATATTTCGCACCCTGATGTGACAACTAGTGAATAAAGGGCACATCGTTCATATACCCCGAGGGTTACAGGTAATACTTGTTTAGTCATCTTAAATTCAATACTCGGACGATTATTTTCTGGAGAATGAAAATAGGTTGAAGTATTGTTTTTATTCAATGACATAAGGTGTAAACAACTAGTAAAGCAACATTATTAAATCTGATTTACAAGAATCAATTATTATAAGCTCGCTCCGCTTGCGAGTAAAAACTGTATAAAACTTATTTACTCGAACGTTACAATAGAGTATGTGCATTTGAATTGCTCAAAGGTAACAAACTGCAGATGTAAACCAAATCGACGCTATGAACTAATTTACTATCACCCATTTACATCTGGAATATATTTTGCCGCCAGCAAGTGAGACTTACTGGTCTGTCTACCTATAAACTGATAGGCGAGATAACTATTTTACTGACATAACAAAGTAAATGTTTAAAATTGACATACAACCAACAAAGTGTGCACAAATGGTAACAGTTGTAAGGGGAGAGAATGAAACATTCTTGATGTCCGAAATGAAATAGAGGTTAATTTATTTCTTCGTTTTTTTAATTGAGATGAAAGTTCATATTCATCATTAATGCATTCACGTCTGGTTAACCGAGTCATCGGAACTATCATATAAAGACTGTTTTCTCTGAAATAAAAAGAAACATACACTATAAATTAGTGTTGTTGCAGTGTTAGCTCTATTTACACGTTCCAGTCGATTCATATACAAACTGACACGTCGGAAGATAATCATACAAACTATTTTCGTCCAATGCAAAACTGGATTTGTTTATTGTCGAGTTTGTAGACTCACATTATACGTAACTTATATTTATTTCAAAATGGATTTTGTATGTGGTATGTGCAAATATCATAGATATATTCAACACTCGAAACGTCACACTTACACTGAATATTTTGGTAGTGTCTTTGTGAATCCAGTTCCTCCTTCTAACCAGTAAGTATCAGTGATCCCTTTTCCCTAAAACGAAATGAACTATCATTTTTTGAATTTAAATGTGGAACTAGATGATATGTGAAATTCGAGTTCAACAAACATATTCGAATAAGTATCATTCTAATATATGCACGGCCTCAAAAGATTATAAGATTCACTTCGGCTCATTTGCATCACCCAATCAGAACTCGCGATAGAAATGACACATTACTTGATAACATTAAAATGGTGGAAATGAACGCTTTTTCTCTGTGAACGAGATCACTGACAATCAAAGAAAGCATTTAAGGGAAATGATGTGTTTATTGTAACCAAAGTCCTTTTAGTGTCTGTGTTGCAACGAAGACCGGATCGGGCAAATCCATATGTTATCAGTATCGACAGTTTTGTCAGTTTACCAAGACACAGTTTGCAAAAAATATTTAGACATTTCATCGCCTTCATTCACTTGCTTACAAAGTTGGAATAAGAAATTTCGGAACGTGCTAACGCGCAAAGCCTACACACAGCCATTGTTATAATCTGTGATGTGCTCCCAGACCTTCACATTTATGATACAGCAACGTTGATTGGTGGCGCCATCTCATTGGCGCGCCCAATCAAATAACTCACTCAATACAATTAGCTTATTAGCAGTTTTATTAATAGTGCGGGAAAGTTGATGTATTGTCATACTTTAATATTGACTGATCCTCTGGGTGTCATCTTGTATCCACCAAGCGCTTCTAATGCACGGGCTGTTGATGGGCTAATGTGAATACGGAGAGCTGTCAAAAAACAAAAACAAAAAAACAGTCAAAACCCGAAGAGCTTTGATATTATTTGATGCATAGAGTTTATGTGTGCCTATAATACCAACTGACAAAAAACAAATTCAAGAGAAAAACAACACAGCCTGCCAACTAGCAATATAGAAATTATGCGTTTTTTTTGGTGTTGGGAAATTATAAAACACTGCGATAAAAACTTTCCGATATTGTGAAATTCGTTCGTTTTTATGCAGGGAAATACAGTATTTTCGCCAAGTAATCATATTTATTGAAGTTATTGTTCATACATGAGTTGATGAACACACTACATAGATTTTATTCAGCTTCTTTCAGTCTTAATTCAAGACAAATAAGAGGCAAAAATATAGAGAATATATCAAATTATTATTTTTCTGTAATATTCTTTTGTAATCGGTAATTATGAACATTATTTATGGATGTATAGGACATACATTTTTGTCGTCCCAAAAAACGAAAGAATTTCACAATGGCGAAAAGAAAATCTTCGTTACATTTATATAAATGACCCATTTTGTCTTTTAGATGGCGATCTTACTTGCATGAGATTAACTTTAAAATAACTTAATAAAAGCAAAATGAATTATTTTACCTTGCCCAAAAGACTCCATTCGTGATGCCGTGTTGACCGTGTCACCAAAGAGACAAAACCGTGGCATGGTGAGACCAACAACACCAGCCACACAAGGTCCGCTGTGTATACCAATACGTAACTGTAACTGTCTGCCGGGAAGATGCCGAATTTTGAATTTTGTTACTTCACATAGCAAATTTAGCGCCATGTTGGCTATTTCGCCCGCGTGTCGCCTGCCGTTTCGCTGGGGGAGGCCGGAAACTACCATGTATGCGTCACCAATAGTTTCAATCTGTGTGAAAAAAATCCAACATATTTGAAAAAATATTTTAGTGAATGCATGTTTACTACATATTGGACGCCGCGATCTCTTTGAGGGCGAGGAAGATTTGTTTCTGTACCACCCCAACTACTGGTTTACATATTTTATTTTTCCAAGACGAGATTAATATTTGATCATATTTTCAAAGAACGAAAAATTAACATTGAACTTCGTTTCCCCAAATTAGTAGGCACATATTTATATTCATTCATTCATTATTAGGAGAGAATATTTATTTCTAAAATATGTGTCCTAAATGCTAGCATAGTTTATGTCATAAAATTATCAAAAATGCTTTTATGGAGAAATCTAGCGCTTTCAATAATTGCATACGAATGATATATATTTTTGTTCGTTCGTTTAAAAAAATGCTTGATCGTCTGAAAAATATGAGATATTACAGATACATGCCATTTAGAGTTGCAACAGTTCAAGAAAAATGCGATCGGATCATGGGACATTGTTTACAGTGGAGATCTTTCATTATTTGCGTAAGGCTGATTGACATGATGCTTAAATATTCAGAATAGTTTGTTAGGTAATTGTGCCTGATTTCATTAGAAGAATATTATAAATAGAAATTCGTCTTAGATGGGTACATTTTAACACTTGCAAATATTGAACAAAGATTTACATGCTTGCTTACCTTATATACATCAAAGTGGACGATTGTATCATCAAACATGGTGTACAAGTCATTAAGAAAGTCGACTACCTGCTCCAATAAACGGTATCAAAAAAATCAAAGACAGATGAAATAAGCGTTACAGCATACCCCCATAATGCACTGCGAGCTGTTAACGTAAGCAATAAAGTACAGTATTATTTTGCACTATTGTACCCTATCCTATTTACAATTACGAATTTCAAGTATGAAGCGATTGAGCGGCATTTCTTAGAGGGAGGGGGGGGGGTTTGAAAACGAGGTTCATAGCGGGAAAATTTCAATAATTGTCACCATTTTGCTTAGCTCTGTAGCAAAGCTCTATATGGAAGACTCCGCCTCGTGACCTCATAGAAAATCTGACACGATGCTGCTCACATTCGTCATTTTGTTTCATTGCGAAGAGACAATCACATTCCTCACCTGGAGAGGCGTACTTTCAGCGCCAAGCTGGGTGAATCCAACTATGTCGGAGAAAAATATCGTGACCTGGTCATATAATTCTGCATCTACTCTTCTGCCGAGTTTAAGTTGATCTGCCACGCTCCTGTTTGAGGTAATATTGTATAAAATTTCTGTAATTTCTGTTATTTTACCTTATGAAATATTAACCCCAAACAATTATAATATTGGTACTTTCGGCGGGTGCTATCGAGAAGTCCGTAACATTCATTATTAAAGAAAATTTCAAAATTCTTTATAGAGCTTTAAATAAGTTGTTTATATATGATATTGTACGAATATCGTTAAAACATTCGAGTAAATTGTGACTGTCTAAATTTAGGCCATTTTTCATATAATAAGAGAAATTAAATTTCATATTTAAATTATTAAATACTAAATAAAATATTTCAAGACTAAAAATCCGTTTTGGCATAAATCATCCTGGGTCATTTCGCAAAATATTCTGATACAGCAAAATCAGTTCATTGTTTTTTTATACATAATAATATACCTCGGGAGCATACTGTACAACAATTTGTCAGTTTTCTTCTTTTCTTCCATCAACATCCGTGTTCTTTCCTCAACAATGTCCTCAAGATTGTTGGCATATTTCTCCATCATGTTTAGTATGTTGTCTACAATATTGGTATTCCTAGCATAATAATATAAAACAAAAATATTCCTATATATTGAAGTGTGAATGGGATCCCTTTTAAGTAAACGTGTCTGGAATAAATTACAATTTCCACGTTTCTGATTTACATCAAAAGAATACTTCACAAAAATGCGTTATTCAAGCTATATAAATATAGCTCACATATGTAAAATATGTCAAACAAGAACCACAGTCTCTAACAGTATAAAAACGAGGTATTGCTGCGTTTGAGCTTCATAAAATAAAGTCCAAAGTGTACTGGCGGCACACTTGTATTAACATTGTAACAAGCACCCTACGTATCCGTAACACTTTGAGATTCGCACGAAACGAAACAAATCCAATAATAACATATAAACTGACCACGAGCAGGTTCAAATTTTTACCATATCAGTACTAACCACTTAAGCAAGTAATACTGCATCACCATACTAGATCAACATAATTAACGTCTCCACGAAAGTTACTAAACACGACGAAGTAGAATCATGAAAGGGAATAACAGAAGTACATATTTCTGAATGTGATACAACTTACTTCCCACGTGTTATAATACTCAGTGTCGTCTTAATTTCCCGGAACGTGGGTCTCATACTTTCATCTTCGTCCCAGCATTTCTGCATCAAAGATATCATACTGAATTGCTCTTTTGTATTTTTGCCAGCTGCGATTGTTCCTGGTCGGAAGGGTGGCGTACCACCTTTACTAACTAATTCCACAATTTCTGAAAACGAAATAACACAAAACCAAGCCACAAGATATAGCCTGACATATGTTCAACCGTCTTTCCAGTTAGTTGAGCAATATCATTCAAATATGCAAATCTGCTTGACTGGGTAGTCAGTCGCTATTTAGAAATTAACAAGTATCTGTATTTACAACAGCACCAATGTCCGCGTCACAGATGCGATTGGCCTTTATTGAACCCAGGGCAATTGAACAGCAAATTTATTGATTTGAACTACTTTCTATATTAATTTGTTGAATAGGCAAAACGGAAAAAAACAATGTTCCACCACATAAACAGGTGGACAACTTCTATACAATGTTGTTCACTTTAAACATATCCTATCAAAATGTAGTTTTACCTCTGGGACTATGAATGTGTGTGTCGAAAGGTCCACTTCTTGTCAATGTTTCTCCGATGATTATAGCAAAGCTGTATATGTCTCCTTTCTGCGTGCCATTCAGCGGACGTTGGCTGCTACGCAAGATTTCTGGTGCTGTCCACAGCAGGCCTGTAATTTGATTGAATGTAATATTAATATTCTAAGTTAAAACAAACTTTAAACTCACTCTCGAGTAAGTCACGTTGAAGTGTTACAGTTGTCGGGCAGCGACGTGTAAATGAATAATGTATTTCACATGCGTTGTATACAAGTCTATTATTGAAAAGAACGCGATGAGATGACTGTAACACTTTATAGACTACTTCTTAAAAGTGAAACATCAATTCAGTACATTTTGTCACCAGTAACGTAATATTGCTATTTCCGACCCCGTCTTGAAACTACCAGCTCAACTACTTTTATACTTTGTATCATGTCAGATTGTTCATTTCGTGATGATATCTTCAATTCCTTATTTTTGGTGAATATTTTTGCCATTTTGAATAAAATAACAAAAAATGGTATTTTGGATAAAATTAAGGTAGAGATGCAGTTTACCTGACAGGTATTTTAATTAGTTTATTAGGAAACCAAGATGACCTCCCTTGTCCACAAAACTATATTTTCGGAAAGCTTATTGTATGAATTTTAAAGTTTTGTTAGTATTTTATTTTTATGGACACTATAGTTTGAAATATGCACAGAAATGTGCTTTTTTGTAAAAAAGTGATTTAAACAAAATTTAGCTTCTAAACCATGCTTCTGTTTCCTGTCAAAATTGGTTTATGGGTGCATCTGTTTACTATGAAGAAAGTACCGTCTTGAAAACTGTCTACCAGTTGTCAATTTTGTAGGGCAGCAGCTCAAATTTCACTACATCAAGAGTATGCATAAATTAACACCCAGGCTAGTTGTCTGTACGATTGCTGTAACACTATTCAACTAAAAACAATGCCCGACGGCTTTTTGAAGATAAACACATTGTCAATCATTTGTGAGAATTTCAAAACAAAAGGTCAAAGCGTCTAGGAGCTATTTTTTTTAAAGTTCTGGATGTGCACTAAAAAGAAGCTGATATAATTGCTAATTTGCATAACAATTCACTCATTAAGAAGTTTGCTAATGCTCATAATTAAAATGGAGATCCCGTCATTTCTTTTTTCACCATGTTTTTTTTTATTTATGTACAGCCTTGCTAAATCTTGCTAAGCATTCAAAAAAGATAATGTTTGCACCTGTTATCTATATTTTAAAAATCGTTTAATGAGTATGTTCCACTATTCACAATTCTACAAAATTTCAAAAGTCTATAGCCAAACCTTTTTGGATAATAAAAAGCAAAAAAAAATATTCACTCCCATGTGTCCACGATCCTGCATCTCTACCTTACGTTATTGTTAATTTCTTGAGAACTACCAGCTCAATTGTTTTGAAACAATTGTTTTGAGGTACTTCTGTCACATTTGCTTATTTCATGATAATATCGATGACTTTTAAGCGCATATTTTTTGTCTTTTTCTAAACAAAATGCTATTTCTATCTTCTTGAAATTGCTTTGATACTTAGTTGTTCAGGTATAGTCAGTTATCTAAAATGTTATTATCCACTTTTTCTTAAAAGCCGCTACTCCAATTGCTTTGATGTCCATATATATGTACCTTGGATGTTTTTTAGCTATATATTAGTTACTTTTGTGACATTAGTGCGGATATTGAGCATGTACTGGGGAAGAAAAATTAAATTAAATATATTTATTAATTTATTTTTGGTAAATATTTGAATAATTTTTCTGGCTTGAACGGATTCAATTATCCGTCATTGAACACAACATTTCTGGTCAATTTACAAAGTTAGTCAGTCATTCATAGTATAATCTAATGCTTTGACAACTTTGAAAAATACTTTTCTAAAGCAAATTATGTATATTTTAATTTAATTAACTGAACATTTGTTCAGATTCGGTTAAAGTAAGTGGATAACTTGGACACTGTTAACCGACATGAACTTCGAGTATATTTGCAAATGAGTTCTAAGCAAATCAGCTTTGTGCGGTGATGACAAATAACGCGTATCGAACTGTTATTTTTAAATTTAATATAACTCAAATTCTGTGCATTTTCTGATTCAATGTTATACTCTTTGTGTTGTTAATCATTATGGGTATTCTCATAAGAGAAATGTTATACATTGCAACCTTGTTTGGTCATAGTCTGGCATTTAAACACAGAATTGAGATTTCATTCAACTGTATTGACAAAAAGATATTTTGTTGGTTTATTTCCATGTGATGAAGAAGGGTTTGTACGAACCCTAAATACATGTAGTCGGAAACACTGCGTAGCTATATAATATACAGATATGGTAACATCATTGATCCGATATAAGTTGGTTAAACACAAACAAAAAATAAGTACCTTGAACATACACAAAATAAGGCTTGTAAGTCTATGAATAATGTTACCATAGTGACATTATTTATGAACGCCCATATGGATCTCCTCGTCTGGTCTTGGGCACAGCACATACGAGATGGCATGTTTTTCCATAATTACATCACGTACGAACGTTTGATTCCCACGACATTGCAGTATTATGTAGAATCAACAACTTGCATGTTTAAAGTAGAAATTACATATTACAAGAATTTCATACATTCTTTACTAATTGTGCCTTATCCTTTGGGACACCACCCTGATAATCTCGTGAGCATGCCAACGGCTGCTGTCATTAACTGATATCATGCTTACTCTGGTACACATTACAGTTTTATTGGAGAGAAAGTAGGACTTGGGAAAAGAAGTTGCTGACCGGCGCGGCTCACGAAGTTTTGCTTCTTGTATTTTTATATTAATAATGCATTTTGGAAATAAAGAAAGGTAATGATAAATAACTTTTTATGAACTATATCTCACCTGCATGATAAGCATAATCACCATCATCTTGAGTATGACTTTTGAATCGATTTAATCCATAGTCTGTGACTTTTAAAACCCATCGACTGTCAATCACACAGTTAGATGATTTTAGACGGCCGTGTGAACCAACTCTCGACTTGTGTATGTACTCCATTCCCTAAAAAATATACGAGTATAAACAAATGGCTTCTGTGTAATTAAATATCGATGGTAGGGGCATAAAATAGGCAGCAATGGGAATCCATTGTATCAAATTCAACACAGCGTGAAGCGGGTTAGAAGTATGTCGTTGTTTTCAGGTTTTCTCTTGATGTATTTTTGTATTTGTTCTAGGCGCAGCGTGCACCAGAAGGTTTTACAACAAGACTCACCGAAACTAAGTCAGTCAGCAAGGATGTTTTAAACAACCAATCAAGCTTGATGTCATCGTTTTGCAAAACATCCTACAAAAAAGAAATGTCGCGTTTAATATCGCGTTATTTCCAGAAATTAAAATCACAATACAGTAACAGAGGCCAGCCACAAATATTAAATATGACTGCTGAAACAAAATACATTGTATTTACCCTAAACACTTACAATCTGCCGAACATCCAAGCCCTCATTTGCATACGTTCAATATCATTGAATCAAGCCTGTTACAATTAGAACGCGGTCAGAGTACATCTCGAAACTGCTCCTCATCGTCAAAATTACGAATAATAAAAATTACATTTACTTAGTAAACATGAGAAGCTGAATATATTTCTGTTTTGTTATATTTGCAAAATGCTATAACGTACAGGTGAAAGTAATAATATTTAAAGCACGCTTTATATTTAATTTAGATTTAGATTGTAAGTGCTAACAATACAAGAGGGTTTCACGGAGACAAATCCAGTATAATTATGCACTTTGAATTCGCTATGTGTGTTTTTTTCTTCGTATTGCACTCCTTTTTCATCAAACCATTAGCTTCCGTGTTACCCGTTGACGTTGTATCTCTTTCATTGTACATTTAATATGATCTCCGATTCTTTTCAAAACTTACCTGGAAGCTTCCTTTAGGACAATACTGTGTCAGTATACATACATTAGGTTCATCTGGACAGATTCCAATGAATGCATTAACATTCAAATGATGCATGTCACGCAACTAAAAGAAAAAAAATCAAGCAACCAATGATCTCTATAGCGCATTTTCAATGTGATTCCGTATCGTGGTAACAATCCGCGGTTTTAACATTGACAGATATGTGTTTTAGTCGGCGAATATTGTCGGGCATTTAGTGAGGTTCAGTGTCATCCAGTAGCACAGATACTGTAGACTTAGACATGTCGTGTTTACTCTGCAACAGCACATCGGGGAGCATCATTGTACGCTGCAATACCCAAATGGGAGAAAAGCAATGCTACATTGGAACAACTGCGGTACACCGCAGTGGAAGAGCGTCAACGACACAACGAGACAAAGACATCACCAATATCATAACTTACAGCTTTTATTTCCAGCAAGTCTTCCCGGTCGACAACAATGTTTTCTCTGTTCAATCGTTTTATAGCTACTAGGGCATCTCTGTAAAGTCCAGTTTTTGTGAAGATCTGGTCAGTCACAATGCTTGGTACGTTTAGTTGTGAAGAGCGCGATCTTTTATCGCTTTTCAAACTCTGTAAGCTAAGGTCACTTGCCTGCAATAAAAACATGGCATGTGTCTTAGTACACGAATAATTAAATACCTGTCAATGCCAAAAGAAGAAGCATGAAGCAAGCAAGAATAACATGAATTTGTTTCTGGTTTCATGAGAATTTGAAAGCCGGCGAGGCGTTTATATTTGTGCATGTTTAAACAAAATATTAACAAGAAATTAGATATCATATTTAGAGGTATTTCTATTTATTACACTTCGTATTTATACTAAAATTCAAACAATTTACGCTTCTTTTGAATACTTTTGGGTTTTTTGCCATTACATTGTAAACATTTTGCATAAATACTACCAGATTCTAGTTCAAATCAAATCAAGTCACAAATTGTTTGAGGCGGTCGTTTTGGGGCTAGGTACGCAAACGAGAAACAAACTGCGTTTTTGTTGCCCTAGCAATACCAACGGTATGCTTATGCGTCGAAATCAAAGACGGTGCCAAACCAGGTTTGTGCTAATTTGTGTGAAAGCAAAATATTGTAGGAAAAAGTCGATGGTGCACGAATTGCATGAGTGTACTCCAGATAATATCACCTAGATCATATGCATGTATGTACGGGATTAAAGTTCACAGAAGACGGTCACAAGCTATCCTGACAGATAATACATAATTCTCTTAATAATCTTCGAGATTTCCTTTGAAGTTGCATTTCATTTTATTATTTGTTTCACCTTCATTGCACCCATGGCAGTTGTTAGTGTGAAAAAAGACAGTGTTGTGTTCAATTTTATAGAAACCATAATGTTGCTTCTTGATAAACTTGATCATATACGCATTTACTATTCTCCATTTACTGCATTTTAGGTTTATCATTTTAGAAGAAAGACAGCATACACAGGAAACGACAGTCGGGCAAATTGTGGTCAAAAAGCAGTATATTATGCAAATGTATCTCCCAACAACTCATTACAACCCATTTTCAAATAACTGAAAGCTAAGACATGTAGTAATTGTATCCTGCGCTAGGACAACATACCATACTGCCAAATCTTCTAGTCTTGTCAAATACGATTTCATCGTACCGAACTTTCCACAGTGTATTTGCCAGCTCTTCCTCCAACTTCCTACGCCTGAATCATGGAATGAAATATACCATAGCATTAATATTATTATATATCGATCCATATGCTCTCGAAAATATAGTAGACCACACATCACCATATAATACAAAATACGGACCCCTATTTCATCTAGTAAGTAAGACAATCACTAACCATTAATCAAAGAAGAAAAATACACCATATACTACATTTATTACATCCAGTATATGGATGATATGAAGCC